AGGAGAAAAGTTGAACCTACTCGTCATTTCGGTAATGAAGCGTTTCATTTTGTTGAAGTCGGACTTCGTTACGCTGCCAGATGAATCAACAAGAAAGGCGATATCGACAAGAGAATTACAAACAGACGAAGCTGTTGGATAAAGTTGTAAACTAAATCAATTGTTTTTGGGACAAGCTATTACAATTATTTTTAATAATAATATATAGATTTTTTTCTCGAGAGTTTTCTTTTTTTATACTGTGTCTTATATTTATATACATATTTTTTATCTTTGATATTTATTTTTCAGGAAAACTTTACTCATTGCCACCGCCATCTCAGGCGCTTAGCGTCGACGTTTTGGCTAGTATGTAGGCATTCTATTTTAAAATAATAACTTTTGGAAATGCGATTTCCAGCGTTTTGAGGTTCTTTTTGATAACGCAGCCTTGGTACGAGAGAGCAAGCATAGACAATTATAAAAAAAATCCGAAAATTGTAATATTTCCTTTCCACTAGTACGCACGTGCGTATATGCGTAAAGGACGCTACGCGCCTGCATCTCTAAATCATCGATGTGTTATTCTACATTTGAATACTTACTCATTGCAATATGACGAGCAATTTCTGATCCTTTTGTCCTCAACAGTCTTAAGTCAGGGAAGTGCAAAAGATTGTGTGGTTTATTGACTGCTTCACTAAGCGAATTCAGTTTAGGGTTTTCCCCAAATGCAATAACGTAGGAGCGAATACTCATATCTTGTAATTTGTGGACAGCCAACTGCAATGGTTTTGCTATGATGTCATTTTCTCCACCAGTAAATGTAACAATAATCTTGAGAACTTGGGGTCGGGCTTGTGACATTAGTCTTATTGCACTTTCCAGAGCAAGATCCATTCGTCGTGTGCCTTTGACTGGGGACGCCTCGTTGACAAGCCTATGTGGAAAATTGATTTTCGTACTTCGGCACTCTGAGGTATTAGATTGTTTTATTTCGGTTACAAAAAAATATTTTGGTTATAAAACGAATGTAGGGAAAACACGCCGTACGCAAGGTATTGAAAACAAAATTCGCTTTACAAACGGTGGCGCGAGTGCGAGCAAGCTTGATATTCTCATCCAAGTCACTATTTGAACAATCAGAGTGTGTTATATTCCAATTATTTTAGAAAACACCTTACTTACAGATTGAATCTATCCAGTGAAACATCAAATGTTGCAACTACATTAGGAGTGTCACCATATGTAATGAAAGCGGAACGCGATTGCCTTGATTGTACGTTGAGTAGATTGGCCATGAGCTTCAAAACTGATTTTTGCCTCCTAAAGTCAATCGAGCTTACGTCTTTTGATGAATCTGCCATGAATATGATGTCTGTCCCAAAATTTGGGGGAGCTCCTAACAAAAATTATCATTAAGACGCAATCAGAATTAAGATTGGCATTGTTCGTCTTTCCACAGGAGGTATTTTTTTCAAAGATTATGGGACATGATGTAAGGTATTACACCATATTTGAACGGATTTTATTCACGATAGCCGCCATGATGCTTTTTATATCGTAGTTCCATGTAGTTCGTCTAGAAACATACTTTCGGATTATTGCAAGAAAACAAAAAATATCCATTTTAAAACTTCCAAATTTACAGACGGTGGGAACTAGCGGTAAACTAGTGTGAGCTGCGTCGGTGTTTCTAAAGAAACAGTTATGTAAAAAGATAAATTTAACACCGTAAAAGTGTGTAAGTTTTTCCACATACTTTTTTACGGTGTTAAATTTATCTTTTTACATAACTGCAAATTTACAGACGTTTTTTTGATATTTTGACATAATGTTTGGGATAGAGATTTTTCAAAATTACCCGTTTCTTCTAATGTTTGTAAACTGAAAGATCACGTGGATATTTTGCAGTGCAACATGAAAGCCGACATAGTGACTACCGCGAGGTCTACTGAAATTACATGTCACATTGTTATACATTAGCATAAGATGTCAGCTATTAAGCATTTTGCGTACAAAGTGGAAGTCAATTTTTTGACACTCTCGTAGCACAGAATATAGCATACCTGTTTGTTCACCAATTAGTCTCGCTGCAGAAGGCATCTCGATAGGTAAGAGATCAAATGACTCAATTCGAAATATATCACTTGGTTTCTGAACTATAGGTCGCAGTTCGCTTTCCGTGGGTTTACTTCCTATAGCAACCACAAATGTTTTAGCTCCAAGACTCCGTAGAGCCTTTGCAGCACCAGAAAGCTCATTACGGGTAATCGCTGGAGATGTTTCACCTGCTATCAAAAGAACTACGATCTAAACAATAGAACAAAGAAATAAAAGTGAATAAATAAACCTGGTGTTATATCAGGCGATAAACACAGCCTAAAACACCAGAAACAAGTTCTAAAACCAAAAAGACAGCGATTTGTACTTCCGTCAATCACATTGTGTAACTCGACGACATCATACCTTAAAGGCGCCCCATATATATTTCATAAATTTTATATATTTCATAAAGTTGTTATTTGTATATGTGTATTTGTGTATATATAATATATACTTTTGAAGTCATAGACAATTAGACCAACCTTTGGAACATTAAGTCGAGACTTGTCGAGCATCGTGGCCGCTGAAGCCAAAGCACTGTCGATACGTCTTGGCCCTCCAGCTTTTCCAGCTCTATCTACTGCTTGTTCAAATCCTTTCAAGGTGTCCGTTTCATCAAAGTTAATAACACGGAAGGCTTGACTGCCATACGTGATCAGAGCAGCTCGTGAATGACCAGGACGAACGTTTAAGAATTTAGCCAGTGATTTTATAAAATCCTTTTCCTTGAAGTAGTCTCCGGTTTTCACAGCAGCCGAAGAGTCAATAACAAAAATGATATCTCCGTCAATATAAGGAAAAGTAGAAGCTAGAGTGAAAAAAATAAAACCTTTTTTTAACGCTTTCTCTATACTCAAGCAGAATACGCGCATTTTAGAACGTGAAGTAATAAGCAGGCTATAGAATGGAAGTGGGGAAACACAGCAGGTATTTATACATTTTATAGATGGGATTTATAGATTTTGAAAAGGCGTTTGCGATGTATACAATGTGAGTATGGAGAGGTGACAGGCGAGGATAAGGAATGGGAAGAAGACCTAACAAAATAGCTAAAGAGACTCCCGATGGACGTTGACGCAATCAAAAAGCTTTTAAAATTTTGCATGTCTTTTCGACCGAATAGTGACTCAGTCATTCTTGAGTGGAGAGAGAGTCCGGTGAATAAATGATAACAAAAGTAGATTATATACACTTTATATGTTAGAAAAAAATATAGAATCCGTGATATTATAGTGATGGTGCTATAGTATTTTCTGTGTTCACCATAACGGCATAAAGACGCCCTTAAATTACCTTGACACGCTGTTTCAGCAAAACTTTGTACTCTTCTCAAGAGAGCGTCAAACGACTCCAGCATAAGTACGTTATCGTCATCTGTAGTCAAAAGTCTTAATTCTTGACGTTGTGCATCCTGTCCAATGCCTACTGCCATTATATACACTCCTGCACGCTTCAAAGCTTCTGAAGCCCTAATAAGGAAGATTGTTTTCCCCTAAGTAGCCTGACCCAATTCATCATTAATTAGCATTACTTCAATAGACTTCTGCAGCTTTTACGTCATCTCCATTATTTGCAATACATTGTGGAATAACTTTCTGGAGAAAACAAAATAAATCCGCCATGTTTTGTCCCAAACATATTTTACAAGAGTAATAATATAGCAATATAGTAATAATATTTTACAAGCATTGTGTATACGGTGTATGAAATAAAAGCTTCAGAGATCTATTACTTTACCTGTCAAGTGAAACAGCATCCTGGGTTTTCGTCTGCATACCATCAGTCATGATTATGGCGATGTGCAAAACTCTCCGACGAACACTCCCTTTTGGTCCAAAGAATTCTTTATAAGCCAAAAGAAGTGCTTTGTCGATACGCGTCTTCCCTCTTTGGTGTGGAAGAGCATCCACAGCAAAAGCAAAGCTATCGATGTTTGGATAATCCTCAAAATCAATTTGTTTCGTTGCATTATTACTGTACAGGATTAAACCAAGTCGTGTACTGATTGGTGAAATATGAAAATTGCTTGCAAGACGAGCGATGAAAGATTTCACTTTTCTGCAGAGGAAATTGGAATTGATTGATAATTTCATTGATTCTAGTTAATTTTCAATGAAAGGTTTATATATATATACACTTTCCTGTAGTCTCCAACACGTATACTACCAGATGAATCAACGATGAAAACAATATCCAAAGGGATGTCGCATTTCTCTATAACTGAAAATCAAAAATTACTAAGAGAGAAGATCCTGAATCCGAATGGTTTTAAAAATTCTTTTGGTTTCTGCAAAACATTATATTGTACATTGCTGTTATAGAGATGAAAAGCCAATTATCAACGGTAAATCAGCTTGAAAAACTCATACATAATTAATGAGTTATTAGGCTAATAGAATTAGCCTATTTGGTCACATGCATGGACCTTTATATCTGATAAAACACTACTTATTAGTATTCTTTATATAAAGAATACAAATAAGGGTTTACCTTTATCAGATAAAAAGGTCAATGACCCTAGCAAAGGTCTCAGACTTGAAACCTGATCATTGACCAATGGAGGATGCTTTGTAAAGTGATTCGCGCATGATCAGTTTGCCCTATTTATCTCAGAACATATTTGTACGTCAATTTCTCCAAGAATTTTAATGGATTTGACTTTCAAATTAGTGTTGGACTTTTTGAAGCCGTTTAAAACACTCGAGATCGTGTTTTAAACTATACATTAAACATGTTACAAACTTACGCGTTCCTTTTACAATTTCTCTTGCAATTGAACTGGACAATAAAGGAAGTAAATCAAATGACTTCACATTAATCATATTTTTGGGGTTCTCCACCATGGATTGCAGTATTTTACTTCCMGGGTCATTTCCAACATTGATAACGTATATTGTTGTTCCCATATTATACAAATGTCTGGATATCTCGGYAAGATCCTGAACACCAACTCCTRRCTTCTGATCTCCTCCGGTAAGCAAAACAAGCAATTTTGGTATGCCAGCTCGAGAAAAGTTGAACATTTTCCTCGCTTCTTCTAACACTTTATCTAGGCGACGTGGTCCACCTAAAATGATAAGTRTTTWATATTKAAATCAAGTCAAATGAAGWATAKTTTAAAACACGAGAKWGTTTTATYAGGTATAAAGATTCGAGCTTTGAAAAATCCGACTATTAATAAATATCAATATTTTTCGTAAAATATATTTTGGTGTTGTTTAGCAGATTTGTTCAAGTAATATGAAATTTTCAAGGTACATTTTKATTAGCTTGTGAACTTTTGGCTTAGTATATGTCTTTTTCATATAAATTTGAATTTATTTGTTCAAGTCCCATACTGGCTTGGTTTTTGTCTTTTGTATACTTGCATGCTACAATAAATCAGTTTCACATTATTTATATGCACTGGTACCACGAAAATTGAAACAAACGCTACCTTTTTGCATAGCTCCATCTACTTGAATATCGAATTGCGACTGAGAGTCGTATCCATCAAACATGAAGATTCGATTTGGTACGTTGGCATAAGTCACTAGTGCACCACGTGATTTACCAGGAGCAATGTTCAGCGAACGAGCTGTTTTCTTTATGAATTTCTTTTGATTGTCGTATTCGCTCTTCCTTATAGCTGATGAGCCATCGACCGCAAAAACWACGTCTAAGTMAGCATTTGTTGGTGATTGGGGCTCTTTAAAATGAATTCTGAATTAATTTAATGAATTTTAACGTTAAATTGTCATATCTAATTAATTTTACTAAGAACTCTTTCAACTAGCTCTGTTTTGTCATAAATATCTAAAGCTAAAAATGAGGAAATTGGAAATAGATTGAAATGCATTTAACTAATTACGAAATTTCCAGGTTAAATCTATACTCAGATTTAACGTTAAATAAATTCAAACCTACCTTCGCAGGACGTTTTCGAAAATGACCCAACTTTTCCTAATAAATCGCTAAACGATGATGCCAGAAAAATATCGCTCTCTTTTTCTACCATAGTCCTGATTTCTTTTTTGTTAACACTAGAGCCTATTCCAACGACAAAAATATAAACACCCTCTTTCCTCAAAACTGAAGCAGCTTTATCCAGGGGTAGATAGTCAGGATCGCGCGTCTGCTCTCCAGTTGTGAGAAGCACAAGTATTCTGTGTACACCACGACGAGCGGAGCCATTAGGACCGTAGAGTCCACTATGAGCTAGTTGCAATGCTCGATCTATTCGGTTTCTCCCTCTTTGGTGGAATAAACCATCAACGTGTTTTCTGAAGTCATTAAAGTTTTGATGATGTCCAAAATCGATCTCTATACTTGCGAAGTCACTGAATAGAATAACCGCTGTACGTGAACCACGTGATATTCCAAAATTACTAACTAACGCGGACACAAAAGATTTCATTTTAGCGTAGTTAGACGGACTGATAAGTGCAGAGGAATCCATAAGAATAGCCAAATCCACTGGCACAGTGCAAGATGGAGTAGCTATAAGCATGAAATCAAAATAGTTTTAGCTCCACAATTAGCTTTACGGCATTCTTCTTTTTATTTTCTATTTTGCTCATACCTGATGCGATTTGTCTTGCTATTCTCGGAGCATTGCCTGTCAGATGATTGAAGGAAAGAATATTGAAGAAAGACCATGGATTCAGAGAAGACTTAAACATGCTGAATTGTTTCTCAGGGCCAATACCTAAAAACACAAATTAATTTCATCCATGTTCAACTGTGATTTTAAAAAATCTCTCAACAGTCAACCACTATTAACAACAACAAGAACAACAAGAAGAACAACCCACACATGGAAGAATCAAATAAAATGAATGTATCCTATGTATACCTATCACATATATATGAGCTCCAAGATTTGTAATATGAGATATAGCTTTTTGTGGTAATGGTAGCGCCTGAACGTTTTGATTTCCAGCAACCAACAGCACAACAATTGTCGGCACATCGCGGCGTCCATCGGGTATTAGTTGAGCAGCAGTTGCTAACGCTTTATCGATGTTTCGCTGTCCACCTACTGGTCTCAAGCCATTCAATGCTGAATCAAACTCAGCTGATGTAGTGTAACTTTCAAAGCGCAGACCTACGTCAGCCGTCGTTCCGTAAGGGACCAATGATGCCCTTGAGTAGCCAGGTCTTAAGTTAAAATGCTTACTCAATTCTTTGATAAACGCTTGCTCGCTAGTAAAGTGTGATGGAGTTACATCACTTGACGTGTCCACTAAAAATATTATATTGGCAATAAAATCCGGTGACGCACCTGAAAAAATGAATGCTTCCATAAATTACATGGTAAGCTCAAAAAAATATCAAGTTAAATGTTGGCCAACATGAAAGGTCCATGGTCCACCGGCATCCCTATCGAGCATTTGATTATGCTTGAAAATAAAAAATAAATTAATAAAATATCGTGATATAAGCAAATACCTACTTTTTATTATCACTTTATACTATATGTATGGAGATATTCCAAGGTTGGTCCTTAACGGACGTATGGAAATCGATTGCGAATGCACATCAATCGCATCATTTGCCATATATGCAAAATCTAAAACACGACCGTAGAATACTGATGGACCATGGATTTTTAAGAAAAGGAACATATACACAATCCGTTTACGATAATGAGTTGACATAGAAAAATGGATCGGAAGAAAGTGCCATGGTCAGCATCAACCATATTAAAAGTATAAATCCATCAAGGAAGCAATGAAATRAACGATCATGAATTCCCGATAATGCTCCCATCAGGCACAATACGATCCTTCAAATAGCTAAATAAACACAAATTGATAGTCTTACCAGAATGAGAGATTTCTTGAGAAATTGGCAATGCTCGAGYAAYGATGTCATCAAAATTYGGAACAGACAAAATTTCTGAAGGTTTCCTAACAATTTCAAGAAGCTTATGTCTAGATGGCTTGTTACCAATAGCTACAACAAAAATGTTTGCACCAAGGTCTCTCAACAAATAAGTACCAAGACTGAATTTGTTTTCATCAGATACTTTGCCCTATATGAAAAAAAATTAATGTCGTGAGTCGTGACTATATCTTTCTTTAACGAGGMCTAATATATGGGATTTTATTCACGAGTTGTTTGTATCATACAACGAACGAGCTATATGCACTAGATAATTATTTTTCTGGAGAAGATTCAAGTCCAGCAATTTTAACTGCATCTTTTAGGGAAGTTATTTTAATTCCTTGTTTAGAAACAACTTTGAACCCCTTTTGGGGTAGTTTTGACAAAGGCATTAAAAAAATAATATTTATCTAAAGTAATAAAATGTGTAACACTATGGTCGCACGATCCTTTGCAAGCGCAGCACCAACATTATGGAACGATTTACCAATGCCAATAAGAAATTATTATATTGAAACTTGACTTGACTCTTTAAGAAAACGTTGAAAATCCATCTCTTTAAGATGGCCTTTTTTGTAATTTGAATATACATTTCTATTTTATCTCTTTATTAATTAGGATTTCTTATGTTATTTTCGAATTTATTACTTATTCTTGTGTATATGCCACATTTTAAATATTATTAATATTACGATTGTAAAGCGCTGTTGATCTGTCATTGTTAAATGGCGCTATAGAAATTATTAAATTATTATTATCTTATTAAATTATTATTATTATTATATTATTGTCTTTGCTGTATATAGAATTAGACTAATATATGTCTAATACTATAGGACTTTAGACTTTATTATGGAAAACATGAATTTTAACTAAAATCAATTTATTCAATTTATCCAAAATATTAATCAGTTATATGATAGAAACTTAGGAAAAGTACCTGATTGCCTGTAGTCATTAACACTGCGATCTTGGGTGAAGATGGATTTCCTCTGGCCAACATAGATGCAGCTATCTCAAGTGCTTTATCCATTCGCCTCTCTCCTCCAATGAATATAGCGTTATCAATTGCATCCTCGAAAGCGGTCATTGATTGAAATTCTCCCAAAGAAATCACTTTTTTTGCAATCGACCCATATGTAGCGACAGAACCTCTTGACTTGCCTTAGGAAACGATACTCAAAGATTAATTTGTATTGTTTGAGTGGTTTTGTATGCAACCAATGTCGATAGTTACCTGGAGAAATATTAAGTAATCTAGCCAAGTGTTTCGTCAGTTCCTTTTCTCCGACGAAGGTACTCTCGGTGACTTCTTGAGAAGAATCCATTAAGAATATAATATCAGCCTCTATGTTAATGGGTCGCTGTGTGGCTATTTAAAGACAACAAGTTTGAATTTTAATTCAAATGCAATGTCAAGGATTGCGGAGTGTGCGACTGAGATTTGGATTTTCAAAAAATCCAAGGATTGAGTTATTGGGAAAAGTGGAGAGTCTGCAGAGCCTACCTGAGAAAACATCCCCTGTCTCCGCATACATACATACCGTACTTTTCACGATTTGAATTAGAACAATAATAACGAAGTCCTAACATCAAGACATTTTGATACATAAAATACCTTTRATATCTACCTTTGCAAGCACTTTCAGAAAACCTGTCCACTTTGTTTAAAAGTTCTTCAAACGACGCCGTGATGTAAACGTCCTTGTCATTTTCAGTCAATAGTTTTAGTTCTGTTTTGTCAACGTTACGTCCTATTCCAATTGCAATCACATGTACGCCAGCCATCCTAAGCCTTTTTGAAGCCAAATCTAGTTGCACAGCATCAGGATCTGGAGTCTGTCTACCATCCGTGAGGACAAATGCTATTTTTTGGACATTTTTCCTGGCACTTCCTTTGCTGCTAAAAATGTCATCGTATGCCAACTTGAGTGCCTTATCTATGCGAGTTTGCCCACGCTGTTGTACTAGAGCATCAACAGCTCTGGAGAAGTCGTCTGAATTCAAATAGGTGTCGAGATCAATTTCCTTAGTGGCATTTGTGCTATACTGAAYAAGTGCTGCACGAGAACCTGTAGATAACAGTCGCAGCCTTTTTGCCATCGCAGAAATAAACGATTTCATTGTTTTGTAGTCATCTGCACCGATACTTCCTGAAGAATCGACTATAAATACTACATCAGCAGCAGTCTTGCAATATTCACTTTCTGAAAGAGATTCAAATTCATTAGAGATAAGCTGACATATAGTTGAGGACACATACAAGCAACGAAAAGGAATATAGCCAGGTAATAAATAGATAAAATCGCGAATTTGGATTGCTAAATTATTGTAATGTATACCGGACGCTATGTGTCTTGATAAAGATGATACTTTATATTGTAGATCACGAAACGCTTTTATAACTGTTAGATCTTTGGACGTCTCAACTGCAGCTAGTAAGTTCCTGCGATCATATCGAGGATCGAGAGCAATTATGAACAACCTTGCCCCAAGATCTTTCAGTGGCTTTGCTGCGACATGAACACTTGTTGCACCAGGAGCTTTGAAAATCAAAGTAACGACGTTAGGCAATTTATTAGATCCATAACCACAGGATTTAAAATTGTCCAGTTTTTGAAGAATTTGTCCAGTTTGTTTTTGGAAAGACAGTAATTACTTTTTGAGACTATTCTATTACAAGGAAGATAATAAACAGTGGAGAAGGATATGGCAGTATCATGATTGTCATTATAATCAAATGGATGCGTACCAGTTTGGTTACTAAGTTACTGAATATTGTTTCATTTTTTTGAGCTTTTGCTTCTATTAAATTACATAATTTTTGATATGCTGTCGCTCCGATAATCCAGAGATTGGCGCTTTCCTAGCATTGTGTCATGCATATGCGATATCGGGAGATTTCTGATGGAGCACCAACTCGCTGTATAGTATTTTGGTTTGGAACCCGATTATCATGTTTGGGGCTCCCAATGATTGAATTATTGCAAGATGATGGACTGCACCTTGGAGTACCTTGAAATCAATTTCAAAGTCTAAAACGTTGTTGTAAATAAAAGACTTACCTTGCTGACCTGCAGCGAAAAGTATGACAACCTTATTGGCATCGATGCGTGCTTGTTTAAGAAGATGAGCTGCTGACCTCAATGCGTTATCTATTCTTCTTGTTCCTCCAAGAAACGCAGCATCATCTACCTTTTTATCTAACATTTCCATCGAATCGTAATCATCAAACGAAAAAGCAGTTTTGGCATTTTTAGAAAAGATGACCAGGGCAGCCCGAGAGAGCCCCGATTGGACGTTCAAAAGTCTTGCTAGCCGTTTGATGTGATATTTTTGAGAAAGAAAATCAGAGTGTCTAACTCCCTTAGAAGCGTCTAAAAGGAAGATGATGTCAGAGAGAAAAGATGTTGGTGCACCTAAAGATAGACATATGAAACAAAGAACAAATCAAATACAGAAGATTTTGCGAATAAAACCAGTTCTTTACTTGGCTGGATACCAGAGATTATAATTTACCCTATCTTATAGTTGATTTTCARWCGTAAAGCCGAAATTCTGGTGTMACGAATAGCAGATCTCACTTYCATGCCAGCATCCAATAAATGAATGAATTATGAGTGAACTTGGCATTAATAAACCACTGTTTAGTTTACCTTTCTGTTTATATTTCTCAATAAAAGCTAGGAGAGTCTTGACTTTTGCGGAGAAAAGGCAACCATTTGATGCTAGTGTCTGGTGTATGTTTTGACAGACCATCCATAGGTTATCCAATCATATCACTCTAATTTTAACGGAACAATCGTCGGGAACATTCATAGTCAGTATTTGAAAGCTAGCCAAGGAGAGAGATGCGCTATCCGAGCCACCAAAGTTTACATTACGCCCTGAAAACTAACAGGACTTGGCACCGTAAATAGACTATGAGAAATGGTAAATTCAAATCTCTGGTACCCATGGTAGATCTTTGCTTTTTAGTATTAAACCAATCTATCGTAAATAGATTACCAATATTGCGGACGATAGTTCTTCCGATGGCCCATCCTCTATCTTGAAGTGCATCAAAATTTTCAACATCAAAAAGGTCATGCGCTGKTTGTACAAATGGACCAAGCAGGCCAACATTGTGTTCCGAGCCAACWSCCATCAGAATGACTTTAGCTCCTTGTCTACTTAAAGCCTTTACACTAGCATTGAAAACATCTTGGTTGAAAAAATCCTGCTTACCACCACTAACTAGAATAACGGTTTTAGGGACATTCGGTCTGGCTCTTTCCAGTTCAATCAGTGCACTATCTAGCGCCAACTCCAGTCTTCGTGACCCACCTCGCGGCTGAATGGAATCTACAGCTGCTTGAAATTCATCGCTGGTTTTATAACTACCAAAGCGTATCGCTTGTGTCGATGTGGAGCCGTAACTAATAACAGCCACCTTAGACTTCCCATCAAAGACATTGATCGCTTTGGCCGCAGATTTGGTAAAGTTTTTCTGCTTTAGAAAATCACTTGAAGAGATAGAATCCGAGGAGTCTAACATGAATATCACATCCCCACGGAATTTTTCTGGCTTCGGTGAATCTGATTTAAAAATATAATTCACTCTATTATTTTTCTGGCTTTGGAGAATCCGATTTAAAGATATAATTCACTTTTTAATTGCCCATTCCATATAATTCAAAACCAAATTTTCATCTTCTCTTATTAATCGACAGTTCTATCACGTGAAGCAATAATGACAGACGTGAGGGAGTACTATCAGTATATAAAGCTCGTTGAGTGCTATTAGACCGCTTCACATAATTTTTTGTTTATGAATAATAAAAACAAAAGAGCAGATTAAACTCGGGTATTATTCGGTGATAGATGCTTTTGAAAATGGATTCTTTTTTTCCAGAATAGTTTCCGCGGGGACTATCACAGTATAATTAAATTTATTGGCTATTCGATAAGAGTTCTTCCAGGGGCGGACCCAAGGGAGTGATCAAAAACTTATCATTATTTATATCATAATGAAATTTTTATCAAACTTTCTTTACTTGTATAGTATTTTCTTATGGAATTTATGAAATAAGGTAAAAAATCATCCCACAAATGGAAGCGTTCCGTCGGTCAAGACCGCAAAGGGCGCAGAGTCTACGTGCTTCCTCTTTCAAAATTTCTGGATCCGCCCACGTCCTCGAACATCACAGCTTCAAAATATTAATGTAGCAAAGTATTTAAAAAAAATTCGTCTAAAAGCTTCATGTCATTCTATGGAGAGTATATAGTTATTTTGGAAATGAGCTTTAACTTACTTTCAGCAATATGCTTGATTAATCCGTAAACATGATGTCTCAGTTTACCAAATAAAGGCACAACAACCATGTTTTCTTGTTTTTCTACTGCTGCTCTTAATTTACTATAGTCGACTTCATGACCAACAGCAACAATGAATAGATTAGCGCCTATATTGTGAACCTTTTCAGAAAAATCAGCAATTGGTCGGGCGGCAGTGTCTTGCTTACCACCAACAAGTACGACTATGACTTTAGGGACATGGTTACGAGCACTTTTGAATATACCCGGTACTATGTCAAATGCATTATCCATTCGTCTGTCACCACCAACCGGTTGGGCCCTATCAACTTGCTTTGATAATTCTTCTAGTGACCGAAAACTCTCAAAAGGTGATAGAACCACTGGTCTGTCCCCATACTTGACGACTGCTGCCCGAGATTTACTTGTCCTTACGTTTAAGAGCTTTGCGATGTACTTCACATAGTCCTTTTGATTATCAAAATCACGTCGTGAAATATCTTTAGAAGAGTCTATCATAAATAGAATATCTGCCTGAAATTCATCAGGAACACCTGCAAAAAAAACCGAAAGTTCTAGTGTGCAGATCTAATCATTTGATTACCGCCAAAAACAATCTAAGCAACAAGACAAATTTATCATTCGATAATTAAAAAGGGGTAACAAACCTTTGATCCCTAATATATGATTTACACTCTCCTGAGCAGCGTTTCTCAAAATAGCAAATGACGGGACTATTATGACGTCATCTGATCTTTGTACAGCCTTCTGCAACTCATTAGTGTTTACTTGGTTTCCAATGGCAATTACGTAGATCTTTGCTCCAATTGAGCGAAGAGGACGAGCGGCATCGTTAAGTGCTTTTGCTCCTTTTTGYTGTTGATGACCTGCAGTTAGAAGGATGGCTATCTTTTTTGAACCGGGACGAGCATCGGTAAGCACTGTCGCTGCTCTTTCCAGCACCTTATCAAAGTTTCTTGATCCACCAAGATGTTCTATATTTTCGAGATCTTTTTCAAATTTTTCCTGTGACAGGAAGTCTCTTAAACTATATTTCACAAGCCCGTAATTGCTATAAATTATTAATGCTGCTCGAGTTGTATCTGATGTAAGTGTGAGGAACCGAAGAAAACGTTTGACGTAATCTTTCTGTGCTTGGTAGTCTGATGACGAAACATCCGAGGTAGAATCAATCATAAAAACAACATCATAATTGAGCGATGTCCGCTGTAGACCCTGTTTTCCTAAAAATATGACGGTATTAGTTAATGGTAAGTCAAGAAAATGGAGGTACAAACAAATGGATTTATCTGGTAAGTTTGAAGGTTTATATTTTATCACATCTAAACGATATTTCGCAGTTTTGATGTTCCTTGCGTTAAGACATTATTATGACATTGTGATGAAGTTGTCCTTCAGTAGCATCGTGTTGTGCAATTTGTCGGCGACCGACGAAAGCTCGAMAGTAWACTTATCACWGCAGTAGCGTATGGCCTAATTTCAACTTTATATTGCAKTATGACATTGATATCAAAAATWTTCAAAATCAGATTTTCTGAGTAAATTATGTATTAAATAAAACTTTACCATACGTCCTACTAATGTGAAGTCCAATCGTCTGCACACTCGCTTGCAGAGAACGAAAATCAGGCATTTTGATGATGTCATTGGGATGACTGATGCTTAAAATTTCTTTGTCGTCTATTTTGTGGCCAATGGCTATGGAGTACATCTTTCCTCCCATCTGCTTCATCATTTTCATCGCTTCATTCAAGGTTTTAGAACCGTGTTCTATGCTGCTTGGACCAGTTGAAACTAGAATTCCAATCTTTGGACCACCACGAATGTCAATTTCAAACATTTCACCCAATCTTTCGATGGCTTTGTCTGACATATGTAAAGAAGAAAACGTTCCCATTATCAACACGATATTACAGTTAAAAGACATGAATAGTTCGTCATTCAATGCATTATTGGATTTTTCATTTTATTTTTCGTTTTCAAACCTCGGGTGATTAATGCAAAATTAAATTAAAATCTCAAACTCCGATAATGACAGAAAACAACACATCATTTCCAGCTTTTTGAGACCGTCATTCCTTTGTCACGAAAAGGAACAGATCGAACCAAATTAACAGACAGCATATTGCAATGCATCSACTTGTGGAAATTACAAAAGACCAGCATGTTTACAAGCGAAATACGAAGAAGGTTTTATCAAAATACGATCATCAATCCAATCAAATTCAAATTTGATTTCAATAATGTAATGTTGAATCGAATAATGAATAATGGTGTTTTGAGGGGGCGCGCTTCTTGCCTTTAGTGACTGTAATCAAATGCCTTTTTAGATTCAATATCTGTTGTGAGCTTTTTTTTCCCTTTTTTAGCCATTGTCTGTTAGGGTAGGGTCGTTATAGTTAAAATTTGCCGTTAAACTGCATAATATTTGAATAGCTCTACATAAGAGGCATTAAACTCTTAGTTCCGGTACAATAGCAATAATGCACACTATGAGGCACCCTGTAAATCACCCTGTAATACCTATTCTTCTAGATCGCCGAAGAAATCCAGCTTTTTTAAGTGTTTCCGTAAAGTCTTGATAGGTTGTGAAGTCAGGAAGGTTATTAACAGTGTACGCGTTTCGGGAGAATACCACAGTGCCAATACGAGGACCTATTCTGGCTGGTTTGAATGACTTTGCTAGTGCCATTACAAATTCTTTTAATCTTCGATAGTTTTCTTCTCCCACAGTCTTAGATGAGTCGATCAAGAAAACAACATCTGTACTTGAATCAAGTGGTGTTGAAATATCTGAAAATTTCAATGTAATAGGACGCTAAATAAAGTAAACGCCATCTATGTACTTGACATATGACTTACCTGTGTGTTTAGCTATATATCTGGCTAGTGATGGTGCATAATGGTTTAATCGGTCGAAAGATCTCTCAGTTATGACCTTTTTTCGATCGTTTACCATGTTTTCAAGCGTGTTCATATCTAAATTATCGCCAACTCCAATGACAAAAGTATGCACGTTACGCTCGCGAAGTGAACGAATAGCGTTTTCCAACGAGTAGGATCCAGCGCTTGTGAGGTCATTACCTCTTGTCATGATAATTGCAATTCTTGGCACCTAGCAATGAAGCCAAAACATTGTGTCAGTCAGGACAACGTCGATTAGAAGCATTGTGATATACACATTTTCGATAGCTTTTATATATAGAAGCCAGCATTGTCGACTTGTCATAGCATTGGTCTTCCAGCCCAATGATTAGGATTTCAGATTCCACTTGCTGATTCGATTTGCCCAATTCGATTTGCACAATTTCTGCTATGATWAGTCAACTGGTTTGCCTCTTTTGTCAGTTGGGATTTTAAAGGACTGRGTTTGCTTGGGAGGGTAACCTCAGGATAGTAACCTCTATGCGGAGTGAATGTTTTAATTTTTTTTTACATTCACGTCGATTAGTTTGTATTACCTGAGGTCTAGCATCTCCAAAAGTGTCACTGGCCAGCTGCAGTGCATTATCTATCAGCTTTCTACCACCAATGTACGAAATTCCATTGACGTCATTGCTAAAACTTTCAACATTTGAATGTTTTCCAAATGGAATCTTCAGTTCTGCCAAATTTGAATACAGAATTGCTCCTGCTCTTGTATACTCTGGAGAAACTTTAAAAGCCTTCGCTAACTTGTTGACGAGCTGCTTTTCTTTGCTAAACTCTTCCTGGGTGACACTCCAYGAAGAATCGATAAGAAAAAGTAAATCCGCAGTAATGCTCACTGGCTTTGCTGAATCTGTTAGAAAAAGATAATTACCGTTTTTATGCCTGTCGATTGTTTTGCTTTATTACTCAACAAAAAAAGCTCAAAGCTCAATAATAGGCGTTTTTTACATTYGTATCAGCTAAGGAACACCAGTCTATTCAACATGATTTTAAAACCATTGAATACCTTAAAGAATCATAACCAACCGCCGTACCTTGCGTGCTCGTATTATTGTTTACATACGTTTAAATGCGTCAAGCATACAATAAATTATAGATTGATAGTACCTGTGAGGTACTTAGTTAAAGTTATTTCTGTCAAAACTGAAAGGACAGAAGACGATTCGCGCTCACTTTAAGAAATCCTACAAATGCGCCATTTTCTTGT